GGGGGGGGGGGGGCCCCCCCCCCCCCCCCCCTCGGCCTGCCCGGGGACCCCCCCCCCCCATTCATTTGTTTACTTTCTAAATAAATCTCTGTTTAGACTTACATCAGTGGGGAGAGAATATCTAAGAAAACGAGGAAGGAAATTTGTTGAAAACAAAGGAAGAGGAAAGAAAGCCCCTGTGATAGAGGCTGCCCCTCGCTGTTCCTGATTACAGTGGAGCCGCACAGCGTTTGGCGCCATCAGAATTGGCCACAGGCTGCCGGTCAGGGCCGACGAGGAAGAGGAACGCCGGCTTCTCTGAAGAGAGATTACGACTCTCACAAACAGCAAGTAGCCAGGGAGCCCATGCCTGTTTATGTACTGCTGATGCTGTTTTCGATTACATGAAAAAGACGAGGGAAACGGCAGCCCCTTCATCAGGCACCACTGTTCTGACGTTATATAAGAGCACTTACTGGCAAGATATTGAGTATTGTGTGCATAGGTCAAAGCACAAACAAGTCCGGCACTATATTATCGGTTTCAAACAAGCTGTGTGTATATTTGGTCGCTATTTGGAATAAAAGCTCAGCTTTACCCTGATAAGTGTAAGAATGAAAGCGGCTAAGCAGGTCATACGAACGTGACCCCTATTCAGTCACCGCGGCAAAGCCAGATGACGTCTTTTTATTTCCCCATGGTTACTTAGAAAACGTCTCGGAGTCGGCCGACGAAACTGGTGAAAACTGTTTGTTAAACGAAACCCGACACTGGCGAGAGTCACTCAGAGAGCTGGTGGTGAAAACAATGGCGCTTTGAGCCAGTGCCTCTCTGCCTTTGTATAAATCATAACGTGGATCTGCCCGCCCGCTATCGGATATTGGCCTGGTGTCCTTGGGTGAGCCAGCGCCGGATTGTTCCACCATTGTGTGTGACTGAATGCTGCGTGGGGGGACCAGCGGTGGGCCTAGTGAGGAGGTCCTGGGAGACACGGACCGTGGCGTACCCCCCCCCACTCACCTGGCACCTCTCTGCCTGTGTCTCGCCCTCGCTGACGGTGGACCCAGACCCTGTTGATCCCAAACGTGCAGCCTTCCCCGATAAACTGGCCCATAAGCACATTTGGAATCTATATTACTGCAAGTCTACAATATACTTGTAACATAATGTGTATAATCTCACCATATCTCCCAATTTAATAACAGTGCAGCAAGCCAGCCTGTGCCAGCCTCTGTCAGCACGTGCCAGTCTGTGCCAGTCTGTGCCAGCACGTGTCAGCACGTGCCAGTCTGTGCCAGTCTGTGCCAGCACGTGTCAGCACGTGCCAGTCTGGCCTCTATCTTTATTTATATAAATTGAAGTAATCTACATATATAGAATATATGATACACTCACCATGCACATTATTTTGGAAAAGAGCACCAACTGTGTACATAAAAGATGTGTGGGCTTTATGAGATATTTTTAATCTGAACATCGATGACACAATCAGCTGTAGCACTGACCAGCCGTCCTGGTGATTGTAAAGGTATTGTTTTTAACAATGGGCTTTGTGAAGCAATCATTCATGTGTATTTTTGCCATCTAAAGTGGTCAACTGGTGGAGAAATATTGTGTATGTTGTCTGGAGTTAAATTTACACTTGTCAGGTAAAAAACAATAGTATCTTTCTGCTTGTTGTAGTCCAAATAGAACCCCATTGGGCTGATTTTTACCTATCAATGGTAAATTATTTTTTCCCTTCCCATTTCATAAAAGTAATTCTAAGAATAAACATTGGCTAATAACTGCAGACACCTCTGTGGGCTGAGGGGCAGTGCTGGGGGCCTCTGGTATCCCGACAGCATGGAGAATCAGCACTCAGCAGTCAGCAGGTGAGATCCACTGCATAACAGCAAGTCTGAGTTAACAACTCCATGGAAAAACAGCTACGCCAGGAACGGCCATCGTGCACTGAAAACAAGCAACTCCATCATTTTCATCATCATCATCATTACTATTATTATTATTATTATGATCATCTGAACTGGGGCCTGTATCACGAAGCAGGATTTCTTGCTTAGCTGGATTTAAGTTAACTTTTCAGATTTAAGGTACCTCAGTTTACCTTTGTTCACTTACATTTAACCCAGACTACAACAATTTATCCAGCTAAGCAAGAAGTCCTGCTTCATGATACAGGCCCCTGACCTTTAGAAATTGCCCACAATATGTGCTTGTGTGTCCTGTGATGGACTGGCATCCCATCCTGGGTGACCCCTGCCTTGTGCCCTGGGGTTCCAGACTGACTGCAGCTGCTGGGTGAATGATTATGCAAGATTAATGGATTATGATGACATTATTATTACTATCATTATTATTAATATAATTATTACAACATGTTACACACCTCATATGACATCTGCTTCCTGGGGTGGCATTCAGTGGTCCAATGTGCGTGTCTGTGCTGTGTTTGTGCCTGTGTGTTCATGTGTGCGCCTGTGCTGTGTGTGTGTGTCTGCCTGTGCTGCGGGTATATGCTGCGTGTGTATATGTGCGCCTGTGCTGTGTGTGTGTCTGTCATGTCTGTGTGTCTGTGCAGCATTTGTGACTATGCGTGTGTGCCTGTGCTGTGGTATGTGCCTGTGCTGCATGTGTGCTCCTGCGCTGTGTGTGTGTATGTGTGTGTCTGTGTGTCTGTGCCCATGCTGCACGTGCATGTGAGTGGGCCGCAGCGGGATCCATGCAGGGGTTCCAGGCCGCTGCGTCCTGCCCGTCCCGAGGAGGGGCGGCTTCTTCCACGTTGCTGCTTATTTGTTTTACCTGCCAGTGGCTCTTAGCAGTGAAAAATATTTTTGCCAATCACATTCGCGTGCGTCTAGTGGGGCGACGCTGCAGCCATTTGCGTCAGCCGGCGGGCAGCTATCTAATCTCCAGCGAAAAGGAAAGAAAAAAAAAGGCAGGCAGTAGGAACTGCGGAGCCATGTGGGCTGGCTTCAGAAAAGGCAGAAGTGAAGAGAAAAATCACCACTAACGATTTTAAACAGGAAGAGCGTGGCGTCAGTCCGGGCTGGAGATAAGGGCCCTGCTCTCCACACACAAACAGAGCGTCCTCTGGCCGACTGGCCGGTCCAGGCCCTGCCGCCTCTCCCTCCACAGATATGTCCTCTTACCCACAATGCCTCTGTGCGGGCTGCCTACACCCAGTGCCTCAGACGGCAGATTGCCGGTCCGATACCTTCTCCTAGGCTCCGGGGTTTCAGAGGGCGGCTGTGTGTGCACCCCTCGCTGGCACAGAGCCCCACCGGCCACTTCAATGCTGAAGGTTATAGCTCCGGGGCTGCAATTACACACAAAAGTCCCCCGTAATATTTCCCAGGATCAGAGGGACCATAATGTCCAATTTTCTGTTAGTTCATCTTGCGTTCCTCCCTCGCATTTTATAGCTGTTAAAAAAGGTCTTTGAAAAACGACACTGTCTCGTGCCCATTTTCTTTTTCCTTTTTTTATTAACATTGTTATCATAACAATCAAGGCGTCAACACTTAGGATAACACACGTATAAATGAGAAAGTGCATCAAATACTGAAAAGAGTGTGTGAGACGCTTAGCCTATCCGACTAACCTGTAGAGGCTGTACCTCGGTGTAACCTTGTTGTGGATGCCCCCAGAACATGTGCTAAAATCAACCAGCTGGGCCGAATTACGCTGAAGCGCAACACATGCGTGTCCTGGAACGTGTTGCCTCGCATTGTAACATCAATGAATGAATTTAAACCACTGGTTCAAATTGTTAGATGGTGAAAATGTGTTGCACCGAATGCGGTTGCAGTCACAATACTGATCAAATTTCCTTTTTCGGGCTGA